AAATGATAAGAGGGTTTAGGCTTTAGACGGTAGCCATCAAAAAATGATAGGCACCAAGAGAAAATTTGGATGGAGGGCTTAGGATTTTTTAGGGTGTTTATCAAACTTTTTTAAGATGCTTATCAAATTTTGTAGATGCTTATCAATTCTTTTTGATGCCTATGCCGTTTAGGGTTTAGGGGGCTAGGGTTTAGGGTTTAGGGTGGCAAGTTGTTATAGCAAAAGTTGCCTAGTTACGAGTTTCGATAACTTGGAGCCGTATCTGTACTTAGACCCCAATTACACGCAGGATGCTAACTAACGGGTTTGATGACATCCAGACACTCGCAAACCCCGCCAAAAAAAACAAAATAATAATAATAATAACAATAATAATAATAAATAGAAATCAGAATGAGGCTCCTTAGGGCTTGTGTGCCCTAACATTAAACCTAAACCCTAAACCCTAAATCCCCTAAACCCTTACTCCCTCCATGCTTGAAGGTGCTTACTTGATTGTTTCCTTCCAGACAGCGGAGCCTCCATGCGCAGACATTTGGGGGAAGTACCCGGTATTCAGGGAAAAAAACGTAACACGCCCCTAAATCATTCCAAAAAGCCCGGTATGCTCCGCACCCAGCAGGTCACTCATTCAACACCTTTTCCTGCAAATACGATGACGAAGAATATGACGATTACTATCACTATCGATTACTATTACTATTACTATTTAGAGGGAGTGGCAGGATGTGGCCATCCGGCTGCAAGCACCCGTAAACCCTAAACCCAAACCCCTAACCCTAAACCCTGAACCCTAAACCCTAAACCTCGGAGTTGAGCGATGAAGGCCAAAGCTCCGGCTACACACCCTCCCCGGACGAGGAGGGTAGGTAGAGTTTAGGGTTTAGGGGTTAGGGGTTAGGGTTTAGGGTTTAGGGTTTAGGGTTTGGGGGTTTAGGGTGGGGGTTTGGGGGTTTATGGTTTCCAAAAACAGACCCTGCGAGACTGTTCCTTCAACCAAAGGAATACGAATAAACTGGCCCTCTCTGGGTAGCCCCGAAACTCTCCCAAGCGGATACAGAGACTGAGACACCGTAGAGAGCCTGGTCCGGAAGGCTCCAAAACGCAGGGCTCCGTTTTGGGGGTTGGGGGTTTAGGGTTTAGGGGGTTAGGGGGTCCTGAAAGTCCGCACCCTGAATAGCCATACACTCCCTCCTTGGCAGAAACTCTCCTGTGCGTTAGAAGGACTTTTGGTTGAGGGGGACTTAAGTTTTAGGGCCCCTATTCTTTAAAACCTAAACCCTAAACCCTAACTTAGCGTAGGGTCTAGGGGCACGAGCCAAGGCACACGTCCGGAAGCCAAACACTGTAGATCGCTCCGCCAAAGGTCGAATCCAGAGTCTTCTCGGCTTCAACGAAGGCCTGGGTCCTGCTCGGGGCACTTGTGTAAGCCTTCAGGGCCTTTAGCCTTTAGGGCCTTTAGGGTTTAGGGGTTTTTAGGGGCATTTTAGGGGTTTTTAAGGGGTTTGGGGTTTAGGGCTCATCAAACCACGACCAACAGAAGTGTGGGATGCGTGCAAAGTCACCGTATGCCGTCAGAGAGGTCTCCCGTGACTGTTCCAGAAGTCGGCGCCATCAGGATCACGTTTCCTTTGTTGCGCGTAAACCTGTGCTCTTCGCGCCAGCCCGTCACGGCTAGACCCTGCTGGCGAGGTGCGCTTGTCTGCAGTCCAGACGAAGTTCATGTTGCCACCACACATCGCTTGCGACACTTCTGTGAGAGTGGTAACCATTGGGGCCAGCATCAGAAAGAAGACCATGAAGGTGCCGCCTGGAATCCTCAGCGAGACTACGGCGGCGAAGAGCAGAGCACTGACAGACTGGGACTCCAGTGATGTAGAGATCGCTGAGTCATGTTGGGTCACCGCCACATAAGCCACGGACGGCTTTGGGCAAACTTGCAGGCAAGGCACAAGCAACTGCTGATAAGCGACTTCACATCCGCACCTTGCTGCTTTGCATTAGCACGTCTGACCGAAGAACTTTCCAGGCAATCTTGTCACAACAGAACCCTAAACCCTAAGCCCCGAACCCTAAACCCTAAACCCTGAACCCTAAACCCTAAACCAACCGACAAGTTCCTAACCACGAGGACGAGGCGCCTCGGAATCGAGGGAAAGACTTCATAGGCAGAGGGTCCATGCAATTCACCTGTCGGGGCTGCCCGCAGCCATCTACATTCATCGCTGCAGATACGGCATGCTTTCAGATGTTCCATATTCCTGCAGTGTCGCCCTCTGACTTTTCATTTCCGGATCTCATTGTACCGTGAACATGCTGAAGAGCGGAACCAAAAGAGCCGACGAACAAGCACACTGCTTACACGTGAGGCTGAGGTCGTTGTTCCACAAGAATGGCTAGGAACTCATCATTTTGAGTCAGGTCACAGGTTGGGATCACGGAAACGTCCACCCTAAGCCTCGATCTTGCACCCTGGTTTTGAGCATGCAGCTTTGGTAACCGACACCATCCCACTAGCCCCTTCAGTCAACTTGTCGACTGTGAACCCTGAAAGCACTGCTGCCGTGAACAGCCCTAAACTCCAACCCGAAACCCTAAACCCAAAAACACCCCAAACCCTAAACCCTAAACCCTTCAGCCAAGGGTACCAGGTGGCGACCGGGAGTCGTAGCGAGCGCATCGAACAGCAAGTCCTCAGCTCGCGCCCCTGCTTGAAAGCCAAAAGCGCCATTCAGGCTAAGGGTTTAGGGTTTTGGGTTTAGGGTTTAGGCTTAAGGGGTTTAGCGCTAGGGTTAAGGGTTTAGGGTTTAGGGTTTAGGGTTTAGGATGGTTTAAGGTTCGGGGAGTGTGGGGGAGTGTGACGCTTAGGGCTTGAGGTGTTGCTGAATGCGCTCAACCGTTGGAGACGCGGTTCGAATCCCCGCCGCTGCGCGAGTCACATTGATGTGAGGCAACTAAAGATGCACCAGGACAGCCGTTAAACTTTAAACCCGAAACCCCTAAACCCCTAAACCCTCTAAAACCCTAAACCCTAAACCCCTCAACCCTAAACCCCGAAACCCCTGAACCCCAAACCGTCTCTTGCTTTCAGACAGCCATGGCTTCTGCTCCACGGGCAACGTTAAAACTCGCTAAACAGGTTGATTTGAAAAGAGGCCCAAGTTTTGAAAGGACTGGACATATTAATTACAACAAGTAGGGTTTAGGGTTTAGGGGTTTAGGGTTTAGGGTTTAGGGTTTAGGGTGTAGGGCTTAGGGTTATCATCAGCATCATCATGGACAAGATCAACATCAGCATGCAGCATGGACAACAACATCAACATCAGCATCATCGTCAGCATGATGCCTTCACCGTCATGACCATCATCATCAGCAGCAACAACAACATCATCATCACCCACATCGGATCTCTACGATCACCACCGCCATGGACATCATCATAATCATCTCTATCATCTTCTTCATCATCTAAACCCTAAACCCTAAACCCCTAAACCCCTAAACCCCTAAACCCTAATTCTCGCCAAGACACTGGCCTCTGTGTTGCAGACTGAGTCCCAACAAGCGCACTCTTTTTCACCTGATGAGAGCGCCAATCGGGTGTGCAAAACGTTAGCCGAACACTCAGACTCACCCATGCTCGCGACATGGAGGAGCCCACAGATAAACTGGAAAAGGATGATGTTCAAAAGCCGGATGCCATAGGAGCCCACATGAGCTTGCTCATCTGCAGTCTCCGGCTAGCCTCTGGCCTGGTGGAGGGGTGGTGGCGGAGAAGCTTGAGACGAAGCAACACGTGAGGCCCGCACATCTGTTCACTGCAGCTCGGTGCACTCCTGTGCGACGTGCGGGCTAGAATAGCCCAAACATTCTCGCCAAGACACTGGCCTCTGTGTTGCAGACTGAGTCCCAACAAGCGCACTCTTTTTCACCTGATGAGAGCGCCAATCGGGTGTGCAAAACGTTAGCCGAACACTCAGACTCACCCATGCTCGCGACATGGAGGAGCCCACAGATAAACTGGAAAGGATGATGTTCAAAAGCCGGATGCCATAGGAGCCCACATGAGCTTGCTCATCTGCAGTCTCCGGCTAGCCTCTGGCCTCCCCACCCCACCTCAGTGGCTGCTGGCGCCCAACATGAGCACGATGAGGAGGTCGACAGGGCGGGTTTGGGCGGGAGTCGGTGCCGGAGGTGGAGACACTGGAGGCCCAGCCGTAAACAAAGGAGGCGGGGGAGCTGGAGGAGTACCAGGCCCCCACCCCAGTTGGACGTACAAGAAGTCCACCAGCTGCTGCTCTGCATCGGCAGCTGCCAACATTGCTTGCCCACCCACTTCTTTGATGAGGGTCGCAATCAGACCGACGAGAGCTCTGCAAAGGAAGCGGATCATTAGTGCCACGATGAGAGAGGCGACCTTTGGAAACAAAAGGATCAGCACCAGCAGAACCACGGTCCTATATTTCAATCTTGGGATCCAGCTTGGCAGGCTCGGCAACCGCCACCAGCGCAACTCCGGCTGCAAAGTGGCCCCTCCCTGATGTACTGGGCGAGGACAGACAGGAGGAGGATGACGAGAAAGCCCGGCTCCAACTCCACGTCCACTCCATTCTTGAAGGGACTGCACTACTCTGGCCAAAGTCGCCGTGATCCGGCGGCGCGGGTCTCCTGCTCGCCACCGTGCCGCGCTGGCTCGGCTGCTAGGGTTCTCGAGGAGTTCAGCTGCCGAGAGCCCGCCTTCCACCGCGTCCGCACCAAGTTCTCTAGCTGCACTTTGGGCGGCGACCATCACTGATTCCGCCGCGGCTGCAGCGGCCTGCTCACTGGCAGGGTTGGCATCGGCCGGCCGAGGTGTGCCGCGTCCCAAACCGGGACCGCCTGCATCCTTGACCCGGTGGGGCACATGCAGACGTGAGAGACGTAAGGTCGCCCGTTTAGGGGCGGCAGTTACCTCTGCTTCCATCCAGCAAAGTCCCAGCAGACGTAGTAGAGTGTACGTGCAATACAGAACCAAAAAGGGTGCTGTTTGAATACGCTCCACGGCCCTTTTACGTGAAATACGGATCCAAAAAGGGTGCTGTTTGAATACGCTCCGTGGCCCTTATACATGAAATACAGATCCAAAAAGGGTGCTGTTTGAATACGCTCAGTGGCCCTTTTATGTGAAAGATGAGAATCCCAAGAAACTAAGGAGCTTAGGCAGCCAAGGTGGCTACATAAGCAACTGGGTCAAAGCCCGTGGCGGAGGATGGTTCAACAGTTCGACAAGCTCAAAGGTGCTACGCATGACCTCCGTCGCTCTGGCAGGTGCCTTTGCAAGGGCATGCACTCCCAGAGCCTCCTGAAGATAATGTTTCAAAGTCTCCGGTCGCCGCCATCGCCCCGCAAATTGGAGCAAGCCTAAGTTCTGCTTGGTTTTGAAATGGTGGCAAGCGCCACCACCCCGCAATGAACCAAGGGTAAACCCGCACTCGGTCAGTAACAACAGCTTGAGCGCATCGCTGACCAGCTGAGACCACCGACGCCTGGCCACTCTCATCACTCTGTCTCGTGGCCTGCGACCTTGGACCCACCACTGCAACCACCGAATCAGGCTTTCATCCTCAACGATAACGAATTGTTGCGCCCAAACACGCCGGGTCTTCACCTGCTTGATCGAAATCACTAGGCCCACACCCTCAGCTAGCTCGGGAGCCTCAGGAAAATGAAGGTCTTTCACTTGGAGAGCATCGATTTCACCTGGCCGCATCATCCCCACAAACCCCAACCAGCATCCTATAACACAGCTCCACCATTGTGCCCGCTCTAGGCCCGAAGACTCGTTTCCCAGGCCCAAACACGTAACCAGTAGACATCGCAACACATAGAAAGTCATTGGCACTCGAGGTTTGATAGGTTGTAGCAGCCGCCATGCCCGCAAAGCTGACCATGTGGACTTCAACAATGCTCCTGATATCTTGAAAGATCTTTGCACACTCAAAACCCCCAAAGTGGCCCAATAAAGTTTTTCTCCTTGTTGATGCAATAGGTCCACTGCCCTTTCCAACCATTTGTCCACCGTCCTGGGTTCACTGCGCCGACTAAGTTGCCCGCCCAATGAAGCCGCCACCCCTAGTATCCAAACACCAGCTTCCACGAGGTGGCGCCGGTACTCGGGGGTGAGGGTGACATCACGCAGTTTCGCCGCCCGTCCTCCAGGTTTTGAGGCCATGGGCTAGACGGCGTGCAAACTCCCAAGGATACACAGTATTGGGCGGGGCCCTTGATCCCGGTTGTGCTGCTTTGGCGGTAATGGCACGAGTTTTCACCTGCTCAACGGCTGTGCTCCACGGGGCATTGGTCAAGAGGCGAATGGGCTTAGAGAGGGTCGGCACATCGTTGGAGCTTCGACGGCAGCCACCAAGATTGCATGTTAGGGTCCGCACACACTCAAGTCGGCAGAACAACTCAGTCTCTCTGAGGGTCCAGGCCCGGCTTGCACGAGGGTGCTCGATGAAGAAGTAGCCACCTGCTTCAGTGATCTTCTCAGCAAGAGTCAGGGCGACTTCCCACCACAAATTTCCCAACACCACCTCGGAAACGAGCTCGCTCCCGGCTGGCCCCCGCAGAGGGCCTCCTTTGTCGAGATTGCGTAGAGGACTAAAACTCTGGTACGGAGGTCTCAACCACAACCACTGCACCTGCGCCAGCACCGTTCCCGCGACAAACTCAGGTAGCAGCGGGGCTTCGTGTCTGCTGAAATCAGTTGGCTCTAACATCGAGAGTCCGGCCTCGCGGTGCGCAGCCGTGATTTGACTGCCACTCCCAAACACCTCCAAGCCCACAAACTCCCCTAGGCTCCGAGATTTAAGCCCCCACTTGGCCAGCCACCTAGGCACTGGCTTTGGCGAAGGCAAGGGTTTGAAGCGCGAGGGAAAATCGGCGACATTCGACTCGGTTTCCACCCAAAGGAGTGCTAGTACAACATCCGACATGACCAAGAAAGGCACCATGCCTCGCATGATCCCGTTGAGCCGGTACGAACTGCTCCGTCCTTTGGCAAGGGCACCCACGCAAACTCCACTGTCGTTGAAGCACACCTGCACCCTGCCTGTGGGGCACCACGAACTGCACAGCCGTGCCACCTCCCGACGAAGAGCCCAGAAACTCTTGCAAATTAATATGCGACGGAGCTAGTCGTCCGCCACTCCAGGACTTCCGACACGAGGCTCGCAAACTGCGAAGTTTCCTGAGGCTCTGGCATCCCGAAGTTGAAAGCATCACTCCGATCGAGGCGCACTGGGGCGCCCTTGATCTCGGATCGCCTCCACAACTCTTCTGCAAGCGCAGCGGGAACTTCGGCTCGCACACCCCCACCTGAAGTTGGGGTCGCATCGGTGGCGAGGAGGCTCGTCATGATCTCCCGCCTCATCTTCCACACTGCAAACGGGAGGTGAAGAGATATGCTACGCAGCTCATCGATCACATAGGCCGGGAGTCGCACCCAACGAGTCGCTGGCATTTCGGACACGTACTTGTAAATCCTATGCTGTAGGCAAAATAGCTCTCTCCGAAACTGACAGGCAAACGCTACAAAGCCCAAAACCTGCTGCAAGATCGCTGTCGTGGCCCAGCCTGAAGACACGATACAGCGTATCAGGGTCCAAACTTCACGACGAATGGCTAGCGGGGCTCCGACTCGGCCTCGAATACCATCTAGCTCGCCACCCCAGGCCTTAAAAGCAGTCTGCGCCCGAAAAGCTTTGTGTGTAGCGCGTTGCAATCCAGCCTCCTCGTACACAACCTCAGCCCGAGTGATGATCTCGATGTCCTCGTCGTCGACCTGAGCGGCAGGCGGTTCAAAGGTGCCATCCAAAGGGATGGGATCTGAGAGGGTCACCCGCTTCGTGACCAACAAGTCATCTAAGTAGACGCCCTGCCAAAGGTCGGATGCTGGCACAAAGTCCCCGTACACCAGTGTCTGCTGAGGGTCTAGCACTCCGTGTTTGCGCAAGATGGCCTCGTGACAGGCCTGAGCCACTGCGCACCCGTTGCGGTCCCCCATCCCCAAAACTCGAAAGCAGAGTCTATGATGACGACCTGGATCACCGCCGTGACGACGAACAACTCCCGGGTCTACTCGCCTCCCAACACCATTGAACCGAACCCAATTCTCTGGCAGCTTCAGCATGTAGTAGTAGTTCCTAAGGTCATCTCCCGAACCCCGCACATACTGGTTTGGCTTAAGCAGCATCCGAGTGAAGCACGAGGCATTAGGCAACCTCGCCCAATCGAGCCTAGGCATAGTAGCATTCTCTGGCCGACGATCATATATCAGACGATCTTCTGCGGAATTTTTAGCGACGCAAAAGAGGCCTCCCACCATCAGCCTCCCCGCCTGATCACGAGGAAGATCGTCTTCAGGAATGAGCATAGCCATGCTGGTGGCCAACAGTTTCTCCGCCACCTCTGCTTCTTCGGCCTGCGGCACACGGTGGCAAGCGACGACTACATCCTCCCACGCATGCTCGGGTAATCGCACTTGCGCCAAATCTGCAAACACCGCCTTCTGGTCCTCAGGAAGCCAATCAAGAGGATCAACCTTTCCAGCAGTCTCCGGGACCGCCAACCGCGCCGCAGACACGGCGAGGGCCGTGGTGGGCACCGTCGCTCCAGCCTGAATTGGAGCGGTGCCGTAGCATGCATCAACTGCTGTCTGGAGGCGGGACACGAGACTCTGCACTGCACCACGCTTGCCTTCACACTCTATTGTGCCTAAGGCTAACTCCAAACTAGCAAATTCCTCCACCTCGCCAAGCAGCCCGTCAGCAAACATCCGAGCGTCAGCTGAACTCCGATAGGCAACTCGCGGCTCGTAGCCACTACCACCCGGACGAGGGCAACCCAAAACCACAAAGTTTGACCAGGCCACAAACGTGTTTACGAAGGCCTTGGCCCACCATTGACAAGCCTTGCTGTCGCCCTCCACCGCCTTGACATTAAGGGCTTCCGGATATGGTAGCGCACACGGAAAAAGAGATATAGTATTGCCGGACCGTTCCAGCAAGGAACCTTGGGCGCTCTCGAACCATTGAACATAACTGAGAAATTTCGAATTTCTTCCCGCCAAAACCGGATGTCTAAGACACGATCCAGGCGAAACATGCAAGCTTCTGTCCGCGATCACTTCTTCGAAGAAGACGGGTCGTCGTCTTCTCCGTCGGCCACTCCGGAGCTCTGGGCTTCCCGCACCTTCTTCTTGAGCTTGTGCAGGGCGTCCACGTAGCCGCTGACGATCGTCATCTCCTCCTTGCTTCCAGCCCATTCCTTTCTCACGAGAGGATCTGGGAGTCCTGTCAGCAACCACGCCGTAGTCCAGTCCCCGCCCTGCAAGAAGACGGCCTGGGTCTTGGCCTTGAGGTTCTGCACGGTTTGCGCCGCTGCTGTATCGGCCTTGCCTGCTCTCAACAGCTCGTACACTGCAACGTCCATCATCGCACACCTCATCAGCCCTTTGAAGCGGCCCCAATTCTGCTTCTTCACGAAGTCCCGGAGGGTCCACGCTTGTCCCGGAACGATGCCCATCTCCTCGATGACCTCGCGCTCGAAGATCTCGCAAACCTTCTTCGGCCGCCTTTGGATCTGCTCGTGAAGCCGATGAAGGGTGGTCACCGCACGAAGGCCCTTGGTCTTCAGGCCGACGTCGTCGTCGTCCGAACTGTCTGAGCCGGAACCACCAAGCAGGTCGTTGGAAGACCTGGCCTTCCTGGATCGGCTGCTTTTCTCTTCGTCCTTGTCCAAGAGCAGCGTCATCATCACCATGGGGAGAAGGTTGGACGCATCCTCGCCGGCAGCCAAACTTTTCAGAACGGCTTCGCGCAACCCCTTCTTCTCGGTCTTGTCCTGGCGCTCCTTCTTCGGCTTGTCCCTCTTGGACCCTCGTCCCGGGGGAAGAAAGCCCGTTGCAAGTCGACCCTCGACCAGCTCGTCGTCTGTGTCGTCCTCGTCGTCGTCGTCGTCTGCGTCGTCCGGAACCTGGTAGAGCTCTTTGAGGCCCGCCAAGTGGCGAGGGAGAGAAGTCTTCTTGGGCTTGGCCTTTGTAGCTGTAGGAGCCTCCGCCTCGCTGCTCTCGAGGTCGGTGGCGGTCATCTTCTTCCAGGCAAGTTGGCATACTCCCAGCGCGGGAAGATCTTTGGTCTTCAATCCCGACCATTCTTCAGGCAGGCTAAGGACCACTGTTTCCTTGGGAACACGAACAAAGGCACTGGAGGATGAATCGCCAGAGGAGGCCGAGGCTTTCTGCTTCACGTTCTTCACTGCGTTCGCTTTCGTCGCCACAATCACATCATCACCAACTAGCTCAACGACCCAGCCGCAAATCGGCAAATCCGATCCATCAGATCGCAGGGTTAGGTAGACTACGTCTCCTACCTCACACATCGCTTAGAAGCTTGAGACGAAGCAACACGTGAGGCCCGCACATCTGTTCACTGCAGCTCGGTGCACTCCTGTGCGACGTGCGGGCTAGAATAGCCCAAACAACCCCTAAACCCCTAAACCTAAACCCCTAAACCCTAAACCCCTAAACCCTAAACCCTAAACCCTAAACCCAAGAGCAGAGATCGAGCCGACGCGGGCTCTTAAGGGACCTGGAGAGACGATGACCGAGGAGGAGGGCCACAAAAGGGCCTGGCTTTTGGAGTTTAGGGTTTAGGGCTTAGGGTTAAGGGTTTAAGGGTTTAAGGGCTTTGGGTAAGGTTTGAGGGTTTCAAGTCATGAGGGTTAAAGATCTAGGGTTTAGGCTCTAGGGTGGCCTAGTTCGCAGCCCGGCATCGTCAATATCCAGGATGATGCCCAAGGCAACTGCCTCAGACTGCCACTGCTCCCCCGATCAACTGTAAGCCAATGCCGCTGAACCCGAACCCAACCGAGCTGAGCCCAAGACGTTGAGGATCAGCTCCGTCACATTCACTGTGTACACCTCGCCGCTACAGGCAACCGAAGTCGGTGGTAAAAAAAAAAAGGGCCAAGAGCCTGAAGAACCTCGAAAGCGTCATCGAATCAGTCAGTGTGAAGGTCTGGGTGAACGCGAGGAAGGCTGGATGGGGTTGGGGCTTACGAAAGTAGGCAGGGTTTAGGGTTTAGGGTCCGAGAAGCCAGAAAGAATGTCCCGACGTAGATCAGCAGACAGGCCGCAAACAGCCTGACCGGGGAGTCTTCCAAGAGCAGCAAGTATTGGGAGGTAGGGTCCCTAAACCCTAAACCCTAAACCCTAAGGGGATCCTTGGGGACAGAGACCCCGTCAATAAGGTCCCTTAGTAAGAGAGCCAGAAGTAGTGTTAAGAAGCCTTTAAGGGGCTCCCAAATACTACCCTAGAGGTATTCAATGTCCACGGGTGCTAGGCCAGCAAGAAGATAAAAACCAACACCACCGAAGACAAGATCAACTGTCGTGGTTTGCAGACCGTCCCTGTACATGAAATGGTCCTGTATCCGTTCGGGTGACGATCAATATACAGCTTTCATTGGAAGGAGGGCACATGGAGCTCTCAAAGCCCAGGAATCGCTGAACCCTTCCCCCTGACCTGCCTGTACGCCAGGAGGAAGCTGCTGATGACTTTGCGACGGTACGGAATTGACAGGAACCTCCGCTGATGGTCCGGGGCTGAGGCGGTCGACCCAGAAGCACAGACTGTCAGCCACAGACCCAGCGACTCTAAGATCCCTTAGTTAAGGAATATACCTTAAAATATAACAGGAACCCTAATAAGATTTCCGGTACATTCCTTAATTAAGGGATATTGGAGTCTCTGGGGAACCAAGAGGGCATGGAGCAGCATGGAAGCTCTGGAACCCATCCGAAATCAACACTTATCTGTTTAGGGTTTAGGGGTCTAAGGGTTTAGGGGTTTAGGGTTTAGGGGTTTAGGGTTTAAGGTTTATGTTTCCCGCCAGAGCTCCTGTAGTGCGTAACGAGGGTGAAGGGATTCTCTCTGCTGATGATCTTGGTCGGTCCTCGGCTCAGGAGACGCTTGCGGGGCTAGGGCTGGGGGTGTAGAGTCTGCATCTGAACGCCCAACCCTAAACCCCAAACCCCAAATCCTAAACCCGATACCCCAAATTGCCAAAGCCGAAACCCCAAACCCGGAACCCTAAACCCCATACCCCAAACCCTAGAATCTAAAACCCGGAGCCCTAAACCCCATACCCGAAATCCTAAACCCAGACCCCATACCCCAAACCCTGAACCCCAAGAGCCAAACAGAAAAGGCGCCCCGAGGAAGCGCCATGATCCCGCGGTGCAGAGCCAGAGCATGGTTGATCTGACCAAACACGGTCTAGGGTTTAGGGTTGAGGGTCTAGGGTTTAGGGTTTTAGGGTTTAGGGGTTTGGAGGTTTAGGGTTTAGGGGTTTAGGGTTATGGGGTTTAGGGTTAAGGGTTTTGGGGTCTAGGGTTTAGGGTTTAGGGTTTTGGGGTTTATAGGGTTTAGGGTTTAGGGTTTGGGGTATGGGGTTTAAGGTTTAAGGGCTGAGTAAAACTGCTTCCACCCGCCCTTGCTGACCCAAAGCTTTGACTCTTCTTGGGGTTTTTTTTGAGCACCTTTTTCCGCCTCGCCAGTCCAGCTAAGCAAAAGTCACACTGTTGGGGTTTAGGGTTTAGGGCTTGAAAGCATGGTTGATCTGACCAAACACGGTTTGTTTGAAGTGCAACACACCCTAAACCCTAAACCCCAAACCCTAAACCCAAAACCCCAAACCCCAAAACCCTATAAACCCTAAACCCAAAACCCCAAACCCCAAACCCCAAACCCTATAAACCCTCAACCCCAAACCCTAAGACGGGTGGGCCCCGAACCGAAGTTCAACCCGGAGCTCCCTGAAGACCGCTGGGAGAAGAGGGCCATTGGGAGGCCCAGAGGGCTCGGAAGGAAGGCTGCATGCAAATTGTTTAGGGGCTTCTTTGGGTTTAGGGGTTTAGGAGTTTAGGGGTTTAGGAGTTTAGGGGTTTGGGAGGTTTAGGGGTTTAGGAGTTTAGGGGTTTGGGAGGTTTAGGGTTTAGGAGCTTAGGGGTTTTGAATGGCTTTCAGGGTTCGGGCTTGGCCTCCTTGGCAACCATCAGGTACCAGCATACCAAAGCAACCAGACCTCACAAGCTCTGCAGGGCAGACCGCAGAGGCTGCTAGATCATTTGGGGTTTAGGGTTTAGGGTCTAGGGTGCACAACAGGTGCAGACAAGCTGCAGAGCATCTGCCCTGTGAAGACGGCCTCAAAGCCAACGGCGTCAGGCTTCACATACTTGCCTCGAAAAAAGGGCGGCCCGGAGACTCCAATATCCCTTAATTAAGGAATATATCTTAAGTCTTATTAGGGTTCCTTGTATAATTTAAGGTATATTACTTAATTAAGGACTATTGGAGTCTCTGGGGGAGTCTGCATGGAAAGCAGCCGTGAGAAGCGGAAGGGGCAGGCGAAAATGTGCCTCAAATTTAGGGTTTAGGGTTTCGGGCTTAGGGTTTAGGGTTTAGGGTATAGGGTTTAGGGTTTAGGGTTTAGGGTTTAGGGCTTAGGGTTTTGGGATTAGGGTTTAGGGCTTAGGGTTTAGGGTATAGAGTTTAAGGTTTAGGGTTTAGGGTTTAGGGCAGAGGGTTTTGGGTTTAGGGTTTAGGGTTTAGTGATGAATTCGTCTGATAAGCCCAGCGGCGAATGTTATCCAGTAGAGATACCTGCAGCCCGGAGATGTGCAATGACCTTGCAAGGGCTCACTCGACAAATGCTGGCAAGCAAATCAAAAGTAAGAAGCAAGCTGCCATGCACGCCACCCCAAGGATCAGCTATGCTCACACATTCTCACACTACACTCGAAACTCACTAAATCCTAAACTCCTAAAAACCCTAAAAACCCTAAAGCCTTAAAAACCCTAGAAACCCTAAAACCCACCCATTTTCGTGGAAAAGAGCTCTTGGGCCGAGAAGCTTGTCAAGCGAGCAGACCCGCTCTGCGAGGGAAGTCTGGGACTGCGCGTCATATTCACTGAGGGCGTGTCCTGCAACAAAAAGCCCGGGTTTGGGGTTTTAGTGTCTAGCGTTTAGGGTTTAGGGCTCAGGGTTTCGGATTGACTTCGCAACGCTCTGCTGGACGAAACTCTATCCCCCAAGCCTGTATCACAAGGAGATCTTCGACGAGTGCACGCTGTACAGTTCAATGACAACTTGGCAGCGTAAGACTCTCTTCGTAGTCAGCTTCGGAAGCTTCGGTTTTGAGGCAGAGGCATCGACTCAACTTGATGTTTGCCCATCGTCCTGAGGAACGGCGCCAACGGAGAGCATCCAGAATCGACCTTTCGTCCACCTCAGGCTCCAGGAAGTTGTACCAGGCGATGCCAACGAACACGATCTGCCTGGGATAAGAACATCACAGCCTTACAGGTTCGGCCCTTCGAATCGAAGAGGCAAGAAATGACCAGGAATGGTAGGGGTAGGGGTCGTGGTAGTGCCAGAAACATTGGACATGTTCTTGCTGGTAGCGCTGTTGAAACTGTGCTCTTGGCATCTGCAACATTATGTCATAGTCCTAAAAGTAATGATTTTCCAACTAACTAGGCCTCTATATTCGATTCTACGGTGTCATTCTGGACTCGTAGCAGAAATACTATTTCAAGGAACCCTAAGGAATAATGTTCGAAAGTCCTTAAGCTTCTACAGTCTGTCGTGTTTTTTCTGGGCTCAGGTGCATGATGACATTGACCACGGCCAGCACGAAGGTTTGACAAGAGCCCAAGGGACCTTCGGCCACGATGACACCAAAGCGCTCTACGCAAAGGACTGTGAGGGTGCAGGGTTTAGGGTACAGGGTTTAGGGTGTAGGGTTTAGGGTTTAGGGCTTAGGGCTTAGGGCTTAGGGTTTAGGGCTTAGGGTTTAGGGGTTAGGGTTTAAGGTGTGAGGGTCTGGACCTAGAGCACCCGTGCCGATGAAGAGAAAGAGATCCCACGTCGACTCGCCGAATCTGTAGTACTCCTGAGCCGTCCGCTGGACACAAAGTGCTGAGACACCAACAAGCAGACACGTCATATAGCTCTGAGTCCTTGAGGTCCTGAAACTAAAGCCAGGCATCTTTGGTTTGCGTGTCGAGGACCTTTTCGGTAATCGTGTCCTCCCAAGCACCACGAAACATGCCGACCGCAACACCACCTAGACGAAGAACCCTCAAGCCTTGCGCAGGCCTGTGTACACCACAAGAAATACCCTAAACCCTAAACCCGTGGTCCATCTTTGGGGGATCGAAGCTCGACCGTCGTCTCGACAACTTGGACACTTCCGACTCAAACTCCTGCGCAGAAAGCACCAAAGGGTGTAGAGTTTAGGGTTTAGGGTTTGGGGTTTAGGGTTTAGGGAGGGCTGCAACTGCACACAAAACGCAGCACGTGAGACGTGGTACTTGCAGCTTTTACAACTTAGAGTAGCCTTAGAGTACTCTTAAAATAACCTGACAGTCACCTTATAATCACCTTACAATGACCTCATGGTACTCCTTTGGTAAAGATAAACACCCCGGCCTTGCCGCTGATCGTGGGAAACTTCAGCGCGGAATCATGCTCATCATGTTCTGACAGGACAACGATCGCGGAGTGTTGGTGAGATTTGCCCACTACCGCAACATGCCAGCCAGTGTCGAGCCCTGGCTCTACTGCTTGCACCCTCAGGTAGCCTGATATGTTGATGCCAGCCTCTGCCAAACCTCATGTCCGTATCAGAGCGAATATCCAGAACAAGACTCCCACGCACGCAGAATCGTAAGAAACCCGAAACCCTGCAGTAAGGCACACACGTACGTGTGGAAAATATTCGTCGACATTAATCTCCAAGGTTTCGCCACCGCGCTGCGTGATGAGAGCCTGGGCCAACTCCGCACAAAGCATCTCAAAGAGTTCAGGGTTTTGGGCTTCAAACATCAAACAACGCATGGTTCCGGGGTTGCTTGTTCAACACGTTTAAAGTTTCGAAACAGCCCCGCCTTCACCAAGCGATCTAACTCGCTGATTCGGGCTTCGAGGAGTGGAACGGGCGAGACGCTCGCCTGCCATCATCATGTGCGTTAGAGAAAGCGAGTGAGCGAGTGAGCGTGGGCAAAGGTCGCATGCTGATTTCGTACATGCACAAGCAATAGGCAATATGCACAAAGTCGAAACGGCCACTCCTGGTCGCAACAACCCATAGCCTCAAGTTCGGCGAACCGCTCGCTGATCCGGTCCAGAATTTCGACATCATTAAGCTCACCTTGCAGATGTCATGCGAGCCGCCCTGAACACTGACCGTCTCCGAATGTCTCCGATAGCAGCATGGACAAGGGATCTTCGCAAAAAAGGAATTACAAGTGCAAGTCGCTCCGGCAAAGAATCAACATTGAAGGTGAAATATTTAAAAAAGATTGCAACAATGTAAACCGGCATATCGCGTTACCCCGAAACCCACACATACTCGTTGAACATCCGTGGTTCGAACCTCATGTTTGCATGCTGCTGGACCCTGCCGTGCTGATGAAGTGCCACACAATTTCAGCAGGTCTAGACCCAATAGGGTTTAGGGATTAGAGCTTAGGGTCTAGGCGGTCTAGGTTTCAGGATTCTAGGGTTTAGGGTGTAGAACACGATTTGCGCAGCATTTCGCAATCACGTGCCTGCTGGAAACACGGGGCTAGCTGCCATTCTGCAGCACAAATCAAGGAACGAACATCCACACGATTTGCTTGCAAAGCAAGCATGTCTGACTTGATATGTTCGCATTGATGAAGCATCCTCATGTAGAAAGTGCTGTATCGAGCATTGTCAAGGCTGCAAACCTCGTTTTTGCCTCTTGGCAACGGCTGTGAGCCGCAGAAGTTTTCACGCAAGCTCGACGAATTGAACGAACTATTCGTGCGACTGAACAGCACAAATCTTTAAGTCCGAAGCTGTGGCCTTTGAATGCGGGTGCTGGAAGACGCAGCAAACCCTGAGCCTGGGTTGCTCGAGACAAGCGCACGGAGGTTTAAATGTATCAAAGCTCCACAGCCCAGGGACTCTAAAGAGCTGGATACATTCATCTTTTTGGCCAGCAGTGCGAACGTCCAACGGTAGATGATGCTATCAACCTTGATTTTGCTGGAAAGAGACACGAACAAACTTTTCACGCGACATTTGCATACGGAGCGAAACTTAAAAATCCAAACAAACATGTCTTCACGACCCATGTCACCAACTAGGAGACCAAAATTGCCAAGAAAAGTCAAGCAAACAAAAACTATTGCAAGTCTGTGTGGAAAAATGTGGAAACCGACAAGCCAAAGAAACTTTGGAAACCGACAGGAAACAGACAGGAACAAACCGCAATCTAAAGGCAGCTGTGAAGCCTTGTGTGTGTTTTTAAAAAGCAAACCAAGTTTCTCCATCTTGACTCAAAAATTTGACCTGTACGTGGAACTGCAAAATCATGTGAAAATTGTGGCAAACCACAGAAACCGCAGAACATGTGCAGATCAATAGAAAACCTGTGGAACGGCAAAAAACAATGTGACCGTGCGACAAAACAAAAAAACCCAAAGAAGTGGGAACCAAAAAAAGGAAACGTAAAGCCACGTTGAAACCGCAGAATCAATAATAGAGAAAGGAGGCTTTTGGGGGTATTTTTTGGAAGGCCAAAACCGCGACAAATATCC